GGGTCATACAGCATATCTAGAAGGCTTATAAGCAGGGTCTCAAAGGGCTATCTGTACATTCATGTTCAAAGTAGCATTATTTGCAATGGCTAAAGTGTTGAAGCAATCCAAGTGTCCATCAACAGATTAAAAGACATTCAAAATGCAGCATATATATGCAATGGAATACTACCTAGCCTTTAAAAAGGAAAGTCTGACAGGATTAGAGTGAGGCTTAGCAAAGGCAGCTCAGAGGAGTGGACACTGGAGCTCAGGCAGGAAGGGGGACCAAGAAAACAAGAGTCACGGTGTCACAGAAGGGGCAGGCAGGACAGTCCAGGATGAGGGAACTGCCACCAGCAAGTTCTTGGGCAGGAAAGAGCTTAAAGCACTGAAGAAACTGAAAGGCCAGGAGGCTGCAGAGTGAGCCGGGGTGGAGAGACCAGGGCTGCCAGGCAGAGGGTACAGGGCCACGGGAGCACATGCTCAGCACTCAGGGGGCCTGGCAACCCGAGCACCAGCACAGTAATAACAATAAATACGCTGAACAATGTCAGATGTAGCACTCCTTAGCAGTCTCCAGAGACAAGGAAATGAGTATCATAATCCCCCAGTTCCAGCTGATTAAAAGCTCTGGACAACTGGAGGTGTCTCAAATGTATTAGGAACATTTTAACTTTTAGCTTTCAGAATTTTCCCCTAAGATGTAGTAAAAACAGGAAAACCATTTGGTCTTTTCAATACATATAGTATATGAATTATACCCCCTAGAGTCTGACTTACATTTTCTACTTTTAGATGTTTACCATTTAAAGCCCTTTTACTGTGAAGTTACACAATATTTTCCTCACAATTTCTTCTGTAGTCCACCTTTTATGCATTTCAAAGTTATGCAGTGTATACATGTACTGAAACATTATATGTACACTTTTATGTTTTCATAAATCAAAAGCTAAATGTAAAGAAATTTTAAAAGACCATTTTTGTCCAAGCAGCTAAGAAATCTGTCCTGGTTTTGCTGCTCCTGTCAGAGTAATTTTGCAGTTCTATTTCACATTCTCAAAAGCCCTGCTTCATAGAGCAGAACTTCAGGCCTATGAGCCCACTCCCCCTTTCCTGCTTCATCAATTAGCTAAAATTTTCAGAAAGAATTTTTAGAAAGAAGCCCCCTAGCCCACTCTCCTCAGAATGGGTGTAACTTATGCATTAGATTACTTAAGGTTCCTGAGGGCTGAGCCCATCTTGATCCTATGTTTATTCCCACCATGACTGGAGTTGGTTTTTGCAACAAAGAAAATGCTGGTTACATATGTGAAAATGATGGTGTGGTGGAAAGGAAAGTTTTTTCTTTCTCTTCTTTGTTAAAGCAGCTTTACTACATTTGCTACTGTCAGCTGTGTCTCAGATTCATGTATGCAAATATCTAAAAGCCTACTGGCTGCCTGGAACTGAGCTGGGGCTGCAGATGTAGCAGTAATACAGGCAGAGTCCTATTCTCCAAGGGGAGGAGAAACAAAACCAAGCATATTACAGTATATAATTTCAACAAGTGTGACATGTGTCATTACTAAAAAGCAGCTAGGATTAGGAGGAAGACATTGACAAGGGCCAAGGAAGGCTTCTACATGCCCTTCATGTTGGACCTGAAAAAGTTGAGCCTAGCAAGGTAGGGTATTTGTTATGCCTGTGTCTAGATGTCTCCCCAAAGCCCCCTGCAGTCATAGGTGGGGCTTTTTCAGAGGTGGCTGAATCTAGAGTCTGTGATGCTGGGATCAAGGGTGGGTGATTACTAAATCAGTCCACTGATTGGCTTGGCACTGCCCTAATCCCAGTAGCCTAGACAGAATATAAAAGGGAAAGAAAGAAGCTGCTAAGGTCCTTTGCTTGCTCCCACCTGCCTGCTTGCTGAGGACTGTTTCTCCTCTGTGATGCCCCTCTGCCATGCCAACCTGCCTTGGAGCCAGCCATCTATGGGCTGAAACCTCTAAAAACTGTAAGCCAAAAGGAACCTTTCTTTCCTCCTTTAACTTAGGGTGTTGGGCATTTTGTCTCAGCAATGAGAAAAATAACTAAGACAGGTATACAGTCAGGCTGGCAGAGGGCCCTTTAAGCCTTGTTGAAAATTTAAAACTTAATCCTAAAATCATGAAAAACCATTGAGGGTTTTGTACAAGATAATATGATCAGATTTGCCTTTTAAAAATATCACTCTGGAGTAAACAAGAGTGAATGTGGAACCTTCAGTCTTTATGTGTGTATACCTAAAAATTAATCAAAATCTCTTTGATCATCATAAACCTCTTATTGGCATTAGTCCATGTTCAGAACCAAGCTGGTTCTTGCTTATTCAGAACCAGCCCCCCTCTATCCAGACTGGTGGACCCAGCTCTGGTTAAAGTATTTAGCCCCTGCGTGAGTTGGGAAATATTCTTTCTGATCTACTTTGACCCAGGACTGACAGCCTCCAGGTATTTTCCAGACTCCTGTGCCCCTTCACAAGAGCTCCGGGTCCTGAACAGCCAGTACACTGACCAGCCGCCTTCCACAAGCTCCATGTCCGGTCTACTCTCAGGGCAGAAATTCATAAAGAAACTAAATCCTATTGGCCATAAGACATACAGACTGTATAAGTTTTGTTTGGCTCTGAACTCTTTGGTTCTGACCCTTATTTGTATATACTTGTGAGTTGCCCAAATATAACTGCTTCCTTGAAGTCCATCTGGGGATACCATTGATGGTTCTCCTTCATTACAGATGTCCATTCAGTTCCCAAAGAATTGTAAAATCATTTTTAAACTTTTTCTCAATTTTTATTTTTATTAGTATATGTAAATAGTACATAATAATCCCATTCCTCATAGAATAAAATTATTATATTGGCAGGTAATCAAAATATGTCATTTCTAAACATTTAAGTGTATTTCTCCCAATTACTTCCTCTTTACTCTTTTTAACAAAATAAAAACTAGTCTCACAATGTCCCCCTTCGGAATTTCTACTGTACCCACTCTGACAGTGAAAGACCCTTTATCCTGAGAAAGCAGAAGCCACTCTCCTCAGTGGTGGGCCCCAGAAGTGGTCAGACCTGGGCTCCAATCCCGGCTTCACCCGTAGTGGGTGTAACCATTAATGTTTCTTCATATCCCTGGCCCTTGTTGTCTCCTATATAAAATGAGGGTATATGACAGTATTTATTTTCTAGGTCTAATCATTTTAAGTTTCCACAAATTGGGTGGCTTAAAACAACAGGATTTATTTTGCATGCTGCTTCCTGGGAAGGCTCCACCTGCACAGCCTGGCCCTTCCTTGGTTCTTCCTGCCTTCAGTGGCTCCTGGCACTCCCTGTATCCTCTTCCCATTTCTCCAAGAGCTGTCTCCCATGCTTTTGTCCTCTCCTCTTCTTATAAGGACACCAGTAGTTATATTTAGGGCCTGCACCAATCCAAGCTGAGTTTATCTCAAGATCCTAAACTAATGACATTTGCAACAACTCAATTTCCAATGAATGCCATATTCTGAGGTCCTGGGTAGAGCCAACGCTGGTTGGATGTACTATTCCACCCCCACACCTACCTGGGATACAGCGCACTTCCATTACACCTGGAAAGCAGAGGAGTCTCCACAGAGAATTTGTTACAGTGGAACTTTAGTCCATGTCTTTACATTATGAATTGTTCAGCTGTGCTTTTATATTAAGAAAAATGGTTACTTTTACAGAAGTGACAGTATGTGTAGCTATTATACCACTAAATATGCACTAGTACTCAGTGAGCACTTTTTCTCTTCCCATTCCTAAACTTAGCCTCACAACAATGGCTTAGTAGCAAATTCATATGTAAATTATACATACTTCAAAGATAAAGAGAAAATTCTGATTTCTTGTAAGCAGAAGGAGTGGCTCTCTTTTCAAAACCTGACCTATTACAGCCATTTAAATACTAAGAAATAAAAGTGCATCTAAGAGATGTTTGCATCTCTGAGGAATATAAAGGTTGTGAAGAAACCTCTGGATATAAATTAGAAACTTTATTTTGTTATTCTTTACCTACTTTACTAATGACCACTTGACAATTTATCTGGTCTTTTGTCAGTTAAATTTCTTTACTTTACATTTGCCTCCCTGGCATGATGTCATCTAGAATGTTTTCAGGAAGGTCAGAAAGAACCAGACAGCTATTTCCACATAGTTCACTCATCTCCAGAGCAGCAGCTGTGCTGTCACTGGTAACCAAAGCTACACCAGCAGCAGGCTGGGGACAGCCAGCCTGCCTGACCACTGCTCTCTCCCCTCCTCCTACCTCACTCCTTCCTCTTCCAAGCTCTTGCCTACTAAGTTCAATATTCAAACTTCCTGGACTGCACAGGTGCCTACATCCAAAACTCCCAAAGAGACCAGTCTCAAGAGTAAGTGATCCTCCTGGTTTTCACGTGCCTTACTTAAGCATATCTGGTCTTGCCTGAGTCACCCATGCTGCAGCCAGGCCTTGACACACAGGAAGTGTCAGCAGAAGGTCTCTAGTGCAGGCTGCTCTGTCCTGCTCTCCCTGGGGCTCCTAGAGACACCTCGACTCCTCCTGGTTCTCTTTTCAGGGTACACATCTACTATTTCTATTGTGAGCCCTTTCTCTTACAGTAACAGGTTAGCAGAAAAAAATTCTGACCTGTGATGTGTGTGCAAAAGAATTGGAACCAAGGATAAACTTCTAATTCTATATCAAAAGAGACCCTTTGCGTTTCACAAAACTCTTCATCTTCCTGCTTCTTCACACCTAATGGAAATTATCATAGCTCATCTTAGCATGTCACCGACTTGTGCACAGGTGCTGCTGAACAGACAATGGTTGGCTACAATAACACAGATGCTCCAGTTCCTTCAATGTGAGTTTTAAAAAACACCTACTTTACACCTTGAAGTGATGTCACTGAACCTAAAGCAAAATGGACTGAGGAAGGGGATGATCACAAATCTAAAATGTCTACCAAAGAGGAGCTACAGGTTTCCTGTATATGACAACCCTTACCTGGATTGGGTTGAAGGTATTCAATTGTTTTCGTCATTATTTCCATCACAGCCCTGCTGGTGACATCCACCTTCTGAAATGAGAAAATAAACATTCTAAGTGCTAAAGTCAATGGCTTTAGAGCCTTTGGTTTTTCCTAAGTCTGTATACAACCACCAGAGGGGGGCAACAAAGCAGTGACGAGTCCTGCAAGAGAGTGAGCCCTCGGGAAATAATGCCTTGGAATGGAGCAGCTTTCTATCAAGATTTGAAAAGCCTATTCACACAAGAAGGAAGCTGATAGTTTCCTAATATTTATTTCAACATAACTTCTGGTACAAATAAGGTGGAGGTACTCAAACATATTCTGCCCCCAGAGCATTTTCTGGATGAGAACAGTGGGCCAGGCATGGTGGCAGGTTTTGCCACCCTAAAGAACAATGCAAGAGATGAAGTTTCTTTTTAACTTCTGAGAATGTGCCAAGGACACAAAACCTTCAGCAAACAGCTGTAGTCAATCCCTGAATGGTTGGTAAGTTCTAAAGGCAAATCTTGGTTTTACAGTCTATTTTGAAACATTGGGAGTGGTCAGTGATTGCCTGGAAGTGGGCCACGCCCTCCCTGCCAGGCCCTGCTTCCCCAGAGAGGGATGGGGTTTAGAGACACAGTCCTGTACACAAACCCAGCACTCAGGAGGCTGAGGCAAGAGGATTACTGTGAGTTTAGGGCCAGCCTGGCCTGCACAGAAAGACCCTGTTCAAAAAAATAAAACAAAATAAAAGATTTTAATTTTCGATACTTAATAATTTCCAGCTCCATGGTAATCATATTACTGTATGTTTGGGGGATAAACAAAGGAATATGTTTTTCTTTCGAACTTAAAAGTTCACACAATTAACACTGAAAGTATCTTATTTTGGATAAATCTGCCTGCATACAAATCCTGTACCATATCCTTTCATGTGACTCATATTTTAAAAAGTCAGCTGGAGACCTGGGAGACACCAATAGAGGCTTATGTTGTCCCCAGAGTGGGATTCTGCTTTAAAGGGGAGCTGGCAATAAAAACCATCCATCCCTGTGTCCCTTGCACCTTGACCAAAGTCCCCTGATAAGAGCTAGTAGCACCCAGACACTCAACGTCTTTGTGCTCATTAGGCAAATGCCTTCCACACTTCTGGTTACAAACCCAGCATCACACAGGACAAGCTCCATATAGATGCTTTCATGACATCCACCCAACAGGGCATAGCTTTTAGCAAATTTATTTGCTAAGCCCTTGCTGTTGCTTGAAATCTAACAGATAATCATTTGATAGAGGAGAATGTGAAGTTTCAGGCCCGGAGGGAACTGAGCTTGCTGAGGTGGCATGGCTAGTGTCACCATGGGAAGTAAAGCAGCTCTCTGGGTCACTGTCAGGTTTCTAGTGAAGAGCACCAGAGCTGAACTGTTGCGGGCCTGTCCGCTACTCTCCAAGTCATCTCCAGCAGGAGCTTCCTAATTCCTAAATTCCCTCCACCTCTGTCATCAATATTCAGCCACAGACTGTGAATCCTGCGAATATCTGACTGTGCCTTCTTAGGGACTTGCTACAAAAGCTATTTGTAGACCCAAACCGGCAGCATTTAGTATGGTACACATTCACTTATCATCAGGCCAGATAAAATTAACATGAAGAAGATATATGTGTAGATCACTTATTATAAGCAAGAGCTTATTCCCAATCAAGAACAGCACTGTTTAGTTTTGCACTTATGTCATTAGCCGTTCTTTTCCTCAATTTCCAAAGTTTTCAATTACTTGAAATATGGAAGTTTTGATGCATCCTAAATTACAACATCATCTATTCTTAGGAACTCTTAAGCTTCCATCTTTAATTAACCTTGCCTGGGATTACAGAAGGGAGCCAGTGATAAACAATGTTTTGAAAATAAATAAGTAAATAAAGCATGAAGCTGAGACCACCCCAATGTATTCTCACAGTTATTATGCTGCTAATCTCCTTGGGATTCAGCCTGGATACACCATACACAGGTACCTTACAGGAAGTATGTCTTCATGGAACTCCAGGCCAACTGGAAAAATGCCTTTAAAGCTCTTCCTGTGTGGGCTCAGCCCTTCCCACAGCCAGTGAGTTTCTGGCCCAGGGTCCACATCCTTCTCGCCACTGCCCCAAGAAGGGGACACCCACCTATATGGCAGGCACCACCAGCCCATTAGGCAATGTGTGCTGCTCTGAGCACGTGGGGTGGACCTTCACTTCGTTCTCTCCCATGTGACAGACACTGCTACATCCAAGTCAGAGTGGCACCACTAAGCTGGGTGTGATGGTGTGTGCCCACACTGTGATCCAAGCACTCTGGGAAGCTGAGGCAGGAGGATCACAAAGCCCAGTCTGGGCAATTTAGTGACTTAGCAAATCCCTGTACCAAAATAAAAATTTAAAAGGGTTGAGAATATAGCTCAATGCAAAGGTCCTATGTCCTATCCCCAGTACAAAGAAAAAAAACTCAGTCATATGAAAAAGTACCATTGTTAACAACAAATTACTTGCTACAAAACTCAACAGAGAGGAATGTGCTTCACACGACAGCTGGGAACTATGAGTTCAGCCTCTGATACAATATAGCAGTGGTGGGGAAGTCAGTCACTCCCCGGGGTTGTGCAGAAGAGCTAAGCATACAAAGATGATGACCTGGCACACTGTCCCCGTCAGTTTCCCCAAATCCACTTTGCCCACAATCCTCACTGTTTTTTCTCATTTTGAATAACATTCTTTTTGCTCTTTCTCAACATATTTTTCTTCTGCCCCTTCAGAAGAATTTAATTTTTATTAAATGAGCTACACACGTATTTCCAATCCTACAATTCCTATTGCTCCAACACAAGGAGAGTCCCAGAACACTTTCCAGGTTTCTAAGAGACACCGTAAACAGCTGGAGCTCAGTGTTACCCACATCTCAGGGACAAGAGGAGACTGCAGGACTGAGCTCAGATGCTCTCCCCTCTAGGAAGCTTCCACTGCTGTCCCAGCCTGAGCCAGGCAGCTCTGCTAGGTCTTCCCTGGGAATCCTCCCTGGGAAGTACCCTCCCTGGGAACTACCCAAGTACCCATAAATCCTGTTAACTGCTGATTTGTGTGCCTCCCCACCTTGCCCCAATCAAAACCAGAAGCCCCCTGAAGGTAGCAATGAGTCCTACTCATCTTTGTATTCCTAGTACCCAGCACAATGCCTGGTACATGGAGGTATTTACAGATTTCCCAACTGAATTAATGAATATAACTACACACCATACAAACAAACCAACCAAACCCCACAGAATTACCACAGCAACTGATAGAAATTTGAGAAGAAATCATATGCCCTTCAATTTCAGAATTTCCTCTTAGGGACTGGGGATTTAGCTCAGTGGTTCCACACCTACTTTGCAAGTGCAAGGTCCTGAGCTTGATCCCTGGTACCAAGGGGGAAAAAAAGGAATTTCCTCTTAACAAAAATCCTACAGGCTTTCAAGGAACAAATCCACCCAGTGCTGCAAAATGGTAAGGAATGTAGCCTGTGTGTGATGGTGTGTGTAAGGCACAGATAGCATTTACATCTAAAACAGGCACGCAGGGAAGGGGAGAGAGACATCATTACCGGTAGTTCCTGCGGAGACAACACAGTGACCTGTCCACACCGGCTTCCAGAGGCCTGGGCTGCAGGGCCGGGAGACACCAGGGTTCCCCTGCATCTCAGGGCAGCAAACACGGCCTTAGAGATAGCCTCTAGGAATAGCTCCTCTCCCAGCAGTGCTGCTCAGGGGAGATCTCTAATTCATTTCATTTTGTTGTCTAATTGCACCTCTGAGAATACAGGGAAAAAAAAGCTTTCTCTATCTCAACTGTTTGATCATCAGAAAACCAACTATGGAAAGGTAGTTCTTCTATAGGCTTGGGAATACTGATCTGAAATATTTTTGTGAGCTATAGACAAATTAGCAGGAAAGAAAAGATTTGAGATTCTGAATCGAAAGCAAATCCTTTTCAATTACCACAGAAATCATATAAAGCATGGAGAGAGGGTACAAAATTTGCAACAGTCACATATAAGACAAAAATATATGGAATAAAACAATATTCATACAGCACTGAAATCTAAGTCTCTAATTTTACATATGTAAAAACTCAAATGTGGGCATATTCTTCAAACAGCCAGAAATTTATTTTATTACAGGAATATCTGGGTTGTGAAATACAAGCTTCAGAAACTTTCTATGAAGTAGGAAAAATTAATCTTCTACTTCATCTTCACACAGGATATCTGGGGATATTTGCCTGAAGTGAAATACTTACAAGATTCTCTTTTATTTTAGTTTGCAATGTGGGCATAGATTTCAGAGCAAAATAAGTCTCCAAAGGTCTAATTAGTTGCTCACAGTGATAAACTCTACCCTGTGCTCCAAATTTGCTCTTCTTTTTAGCCTTATTTAAGAAACAGAATATAAGTTAGTCTTGGCTTAGTGAGCAAGTCCTGGCTGTTGCTAAAGCAGACTAAATTCTGACACCTAAGTAAGTGCCTAATCTATCACAGCATCACAGCAGCACACTAAAAATGCCCTCACATGAGGGAGGGAAGAGGAGCACCAGAGGACAAAACAAGACTGGCTGTAGACAGAGACTGGCGCCAATGAACAGACCCTCGGGGCTGTTCATAGTGAGAGATGGAGGTCCAATGTCACTGTCACAGAGAGAGTGGAGGAGTCAGGCCAACTTTTTCTGGGAATGTGTCTGTCTGGAGATGCAGGATCCATAAAAGAAGGATAGGTAAAGTACTATTTCCAGAACAACGAGCATAAGTAGTTACCAGCTTCAGTTGAAGATCAGGTGATACCTATAACCATCCAAAGATGAGAAATAAGGACCAGCACAGACTTCAGTCCCTCTGGGTAAAGTAGCTGCTGGGTATTAGGTGCAATGGGCTGGTTCCCCAGGCTGCTGGCTAAGAGTTAGGACCCAGGTATAAAATTTCTCCACCCGTAATGGGTAGCCATTAGCAAGGCTGCATTCAGGAGTTTAGTAAGATGGCTGGCTGGATCAATACTACATACAATCATTTCACAAGACCCCTCCCTATTGGCGACCCATTTGTTTTTCAGGAACTCAAATGTTCTCTCTTGCCTACCTGCGTGTTATTTCCTACCAGAAATACACCAGGCTCTTCTATCTCTTATTCAGCCTCCACATCTTCTCTTAAATATCAGGAATGTCTCTTCCCCAAATGCCTGTATGAGTAACTTTCCTCTATGCCAGGTGACTCTGGGCCCATATTTTGCTGGCTTTGCGTCACTAGTCGGGATGGGCCCAAAGTCTGTCCTTTCCATTACACCTGTGAACTTCACATACTTAGGAACCTTGTCTATATCCTACATTCCTGGTTCACAGGAAGCATGTGTTAGCTTTCTGTTACTGTGACCAAATATCAGAGAAAATTGACTACAGAAGGAAAGGTTCATTGTGGCCCAGTGTTTTAGGGGCATCAGTACATGGCCAGCTGCATTGCTGTGGGCCTGAGATAAGGCAGAGCATCACAGCAGAAGAGCATGATGGAACGAAGCTGCTCATCTCCTGGCAGTCAGGAAGAAGGAAGTGAGGGACAGAACTAATGAGGAAGAGGCCAGGCCAAATGAAGTCCCCGGGGCAGGCCCCATTACCCACTTCCTTCAGCTAGGCTCCACCCTGTTTCCATCATGTCCCAATAATGCCTCCAAATTACAAGCTCATCAATGAGTGGATCCACTTGCTGGACTCAAAACCTATCAGCTGGCAACCAGCCCCAAGAACCAGGGTTCCCAAAGACCTTTCAAATTCAAACCATCGCAAGGCACAAAGAATTTTTGTTAAGTTCATCAATGGACCTCATCAAGGTAACTAAAAAGACCACTAAGAAAGCGTTTAGGAATTTCCTTCACACACATGACAAGAACAGCAAATGGAGGCATCCCACTGGAAATGATGTGGGCTAAGAAAAGTACCAAGACCCCGCCCCGTGTAATTTGTGGTAAATTCAAAATATAACAAAAACAGTGCTTTGTTACAATAATGTGCAGAAGTAATATTCTTAATAATGCTTCCATGTGGTTTCCAGGTATCATAGGCTTACAGTATTCTCTTCTATTCAAGTGCAGGATATATACTTCTAGATCCATTCCTCAACAGCAATTTAACAATAGAAATATTTCTTTATACAAGTCAACACATCCTTTTCATCATAAGCCTAAGAATCATTTGCTGTGAACAGCCTCAAAGTGAAAGCCAAAATATGGGTATTCCCAAAGAGAAATGAATTGAGGTATTAGGCCACTCTCACATGTGGGGAACCTGCAACTTTCCAGGTAGAGTGCTAAGATTGGTTACGTTATTTTTCATCCTTTTTCATCCCTACATATCCAAGTGGGTATTAGCAGTCTTACTTCCCTTTCATTAAAAATAGACAGAGACTCCGAGCAATAAATGGACTTTACAGCAAATGTCAGAGTTGGAGCTGGGCTCTGGCCCAGGTGAGACAGGCTCCAAACTGCATGTTTTCTTCCAGGCCAGGATGCCTCTGCTGAGTTCTGCTGGCCCTGCTGTGGGGAAGTCCCCTACAGCAAGAAAGGGACTCAGCTCCCTCTCCAGATGCTGGGTACCATATCCACACCTTCTCCTCTCTTCTCTCTACCCTCCACCCCCTTAATTCCACCACCAGCTCCACACTGGCCGTATCCATGTATTATGGCAAAGCAGTGAGAAAATCCATCCACCAACAGTATGTTACTTCTGCCATGCCACCTCCCTTGGGGTTTCATTCTCAGGACAGTACAAAGGGAAGACAGAAGACTTCACATTTTCTGTTTTAAAATATATCCTAAAAGAAGAGTATTTTTAAAACAACATACTGTATTCTCAGACACCAGTAGAGAACGGCAGCCTCTTTCCCCTTGCTATGGTGGAGAGCCTCATGTCAGAGGGAATCCTAACTGGAGGACTTACCCTCTCCATCTCTTTGAAGTCATCATCTAGCTTGGTTCCTTCAGCTCCTCCGACCTTCTCACTCACTTTCTGTAGAAAATAACCAAAAAGGGAATTACTGTAAATAGTTTCTTTTATAAAAATGTATTAAAAGTTGTAGCCACTTTCAGAAATATCACCTAATGTAACCTTACAATCACTGTCTGACTAGAGACAGTCCTATTTTCATAGCAGGAAATGGCTCAGGAGATTTATACAATTTGCCAAAGGTCATGTGCCTCAGGGTATTAAAACAAGAATTCAAACTTCCATCTTCTGATTCCAACCCTGGTGCTCTTTCTACTATGCAAACCATACTTCCTAATCACTAGGATTGGTTTTTTGAAAGTTCTTAGAAACAAGAGCATCATACAAAAATCATTTTCTTCTGATAATGGGTCTAAAATGCTACCTAGGTAGAAAATTGCTATTTCTTCTACTTACTCCTCAATGGGCTATTGAACAGATCACCACAAGCACATATCAAACTATTAATAAAAAAATGAAATCAGCCCAACTGATCTTCAGATAAAAAGACTTGAATACTAGTATTACAGAGCTCCCTGTAGCTGTGCACATCCTTACATATAAAAAACAAATTCTATGTAAAATGCTGAAGAGATTTCTTTTCTATCCTATGATGCCCCATTATCACTTATTTTATGCTCATGAATTAACATGCAAATTATTGTTTTCCACATATAAAATTCATGTTAATGAAAACTGGATGCTCTATGCTTTTCTGAATTAAAAATTCAAATTACAGATAATAAAAACAAGAAAAAAAACAAAAATATTACAAACACAGGACTACTGAATGCTAATTAAAGGACTCATTCCCCTTAAAACTATAAAGGCCAAGGGATGTTTTCTCCAGGGACATCATGTATTACATAAAGTTATCACACACAATCAGCAAAGCGTAACTTCTGATGTCTTTCAATAGACACTGGGTTGAGAGTCTTTGTAGAGGACCCCACCATGGCCAGCTTGCAGCAATCTCAGTGGCAACCTGGATTGTTCACTGAGTGCATTTCATCTCTCTTTTAAAGGGGTGTCTGGATAACTAGCTCTAGCTCCTGAGCATGGAAGCTCTGACAGCCCCTTGCTGGGGTTTGAGGCATGTTTCTAAGTCTCTCTTTCTCTCCATCCTTTACTGCTGCTTTCTACCATCAAGGAAAACTTCAGCACAGACTATTCTTAGAAAGGCTGAAGACTTGGAATTCTTTCCCACTCTAGCTCTGTACACTAGATGCCATTCTTTTTTGCCTCAGTAGTAACAGAAGGAGCATAATGTAGAGGCAGAGCATGGCATAGACTAATTCCCCTACTCTTTGGTAGATTCATGCAGCTGCTAAGAAAATCACATGGCATAGCAACCATAAGAACTTGTATCTGAACCCACAAGGTATGTATCAAATCCTAGTTCCCTTCTCTCACCAATAAAGTATGTATTTTCTTATAGTATTATGGTTTCTCTCATCAGTTTATTTAACTGTCATTTTATAATTTGAGAAGAAGCTAGCAATTTTCCTTAAAATAATATAATTTTAGGGAGATAAAGGTCAATAATTCAAACTGAGCCAGGGATTTAGCTCAGTGGTTCCAGCACCTGCTGCACAAGTGCAAGGCCCTGAGTTCAATCCCTGGTACCAAAAAAAAAAAAAAAAAATTCAAACTGAAAGGTTAATTAGGGTTTTTAGCACTGACACAGATGTGTTCCCTAAGAAGTATGTAGAACAGGTATTATTACTATGTTGCAGATAAGGAGACTGATGGTTGTCTACCATGGACAATTTAATATGCAGCTTTAGCTAGGAAGAGGTGGAATCAGGACCTGAGTGCAGGATTTCCATTCCGACCCTCCAGATTCTCTAGGTCCACACTACAGTTTGAAGAGCTGTCCATGGTGCTACATTTCTCCGATTCCCATTAGATGCAGATGGCAAGATGTGGATTGACTAACTTGACTCTGTCTTTAATATCAGCCTTCTCACTTCACCTGTGCCCTGAGAGACAGATGCTAATTATCAACTACCTCAGCAGTCTGCACAGACCCAGGCTTTCCCTGACAATACTATCACCTAACCTAAAGCCTGTAGTGACTATGATTTGGACCAGTAGCCAAATTCTGTGCCTGCATCCTAAAAGATTTTTACCAAACCTGAAATGAGAGAGGAAAAATAAGACAGGTTCTATACTAGAATTCAGGTTAGAACCCCTCACTGGAGTTCCAAGTCCCCCAATCACCTGACCTGCATGTTCAGATTTAAATTACAGGAAATTAGTAATAGAAGAGGACTTAAAGATACCAGATTTCCCATCACCAGCTTTTTACTGTATTACATTGATTTCCTCCATATCCCAAAGTCTCATTTTTGTCAAGGAGGATACTGACAGATAACCTCACATAACCTGTAAATGGACACATTTAGTTTCATTTCTAAAATGGACACAGAAAGCATGTAGCTACAAAATAATCTCATTTATGTAAAATTAGAGAATGCTGGTAATCTTGGAATGGCTGCATTTTGATCAACTCTAAAGAAAAATGACCTTCATCCAAACTGCAAGGGCTTCTGTCACATTTTCCATATCATATTGCTCAACCAAGAGTGGTTTCAATTCCTCCCTGACTTTTTGCATTCACCAACAGCTTAGCACCACAGCAGTGGGCCTCATGATATCCAGTGGGAGACTGAGTTCATACTGGACATTGTAATTTAGAACCAGCCCTGCAAACTCACACCAACGCCAGTTCTTCAGTCCATTTACTTTATAAGCTCACACACCAAATAATGACCGCAATGAATCCAAAGCTGACAGGAAGCAAGGAGAGAGAAAACAAGAATGCAGGCAGCACAAGATGGACAGTGGGAAGGATCATTTGTTTTCTCTACAAAAACTGCCATTTAAGTTGTTCTGAGAGCAACAGTGACCAAACACAGTGAATGATGCTAGGAGTTAGATACTGATACTGGCCTGATTGGTTGGTTGATATAAAAATTCTTATCTAATTAAATTCCTGAGGGGGGGGAATGTATTGCTCAAAATGGCATCTACATTGCTCTCTGTGCTAGTTTTCTAAGTCACAAAGGATCTAAATATATTAAGGCACTGAATTAAACACTGGGCTAAATAACAACTAACTCACTGCTTAGGAGCATGGCCAATATCTTCTGTTCTTTCAATAAATATCATTAAAACTTCATTTGTTCTATGCACACAAATCAAAGTGAAGAATACAGACTCGCAGAGCCCATCTGGCCCATAACAAAAACATTTGTTTTCTTCACCTGGTACCATTTAAAATTTTGTCCTATTATTTTCAGTGAGGTAGTTTCTAAAACAAAGATTTCATAGTACTGAATATTTTCTGATGGCTGTTTAGTATTGTTTGACTAAATGATTGCTACTTGAGAAATGAATCACCTATTTAAACAATTTTTACGAAATATCTGAATTAAATAGAACAGTGAAAGTGAGGCAATGTGTGCTTCTCTACCATCTACAAACCCAAAACAACTCCTGAAAATAATTCCACAGTCCTTTCTGTAAACATAAAAACAATGAGTTCAAGACCTTCGATGGGACCCTTGTAGTACAACACAAGAGCCTGACCTTCTAATCTTATCTTGAGCTTCCCATACCTTCTGTGTTCCAACCAAGCTAGAAGTCTTACTCTACTCTAGTTCATTATATTCTCACAAGAAGGACTCAATGAAAACCTGTCAAACTAGACTACAATGTACTCTTGAGAATGCCACCATTAAGATGAATGAGAGAGAAAGATGCCAGAAACTGAGGCAAAGGAAACTAATCAGTCTGGGACAGTTTTTCAAAAAAGGTACAACTTTCAAAAGAGAAAATAAATAATGCAATAGGCTCAGTTTTAAATTAAGTCTTCATTTTGAGTCTGCAGTAGTGTTTGTTTCATGCTATTTTCTTCTACACCACGTAAGAAAAATGGTAAAGGGAACCAGCAGCAAAAGACATTTTAAATAAATGGCTGCTCATCTCAGCCCAGAGGATTCATCCTGCTTTCTAGCAATGACTCATCCACCCTTGGGTTATCTGTTGTCTTCAGGCAAAAGGCACTTTATCTTCCAGCTGCAGCCTTGACTCCTTCCAGCAGTGCATTTCAGGCACTAAACTTGGAGACAAGAACTACAGCCATCCCGGGAAGATCTTCTTGAGATCCACAACATCCCTGAAATCCCACAGATGTAAGACAAACACATTTGTACACTTCCACACCTGCAAAGTGATTTATCTCCGAACTTCCCTATTTTTGCTCAGTTTTATCTCCTATTATTCAGGCCAGGTGTCCTTACCATCTATAAAACGTGTTGGGTTCATTGCCTGCATTTTGTACCTGAATCTGTTCTCCTTAGTGACTCTTCAGGTCACCAAACATCTTAATCCCTCATTCAGATTTCACCTCCTCTACCATCTGTGACCGCCAGCCTTTGAACTCTTACTGAGACTCGCCATTCCGCAGACTGCCTGGACTACCTAATAAGCAAAACTGCCAAGGCTTTTGCTCAGCTGAATTCTAAGATGCTGACAGCAGGGATCATACCACATGCATTTTTACTGGAATATATCTGGCACTTCAGTACCAAACACAATGCCTGGGGAGTAGAAAAAATTATCTCACCAAAACTTTAACACAAGTTAAAGAAACACCCTTGACTATGAATCTCCTTTATGAGAGTGTAGTCCCCCCTCTAACAGCACCCTTTCTCTATGAACAGCCATAACATTAGGAAATTCAAGTATGATGTATGATACTTTATTTACAGCCAAGGCGAAAGGAAATTCTATCTTCATTGTAACTATTCTACATTCATCCACTATATTAATTTTAGTACAATTACAATTCAATTAGTACATTATTCCTATTAATCTCAGTGCTTATTAAATATAGGATATGTGTTTTAGCTTACTGCACGTGTATATATATATATATATATATATATATATATATACACACACACACATATGTTGGCATATCTGTGTGAATGTGTACAACCAAACATTTATGATAG